TGTGTGTGTGTGTGTGTGTGTGTGTGTGTGTGTGTGTGTGTGTGTGTAGAAATTAGTTCTCGATGCATCCCTGGTGCAGGTGATTGATAATTTCCAACTACTAAAGAATAATAAGGGAAATCTACGGTGTTATGTGTTTTGATTTTAAATATTCAAGTAATCTTACTAATGAATATGGCTGGGGAAATGGATTTTGGGGTTCGTAATTTAACTATTAACAGGATAACTTTTAATCTGACAAATTAGTTGTAGCAACTGAGGGAGGCATATAGATTATTTCTGGTGATAATGTTTATTCATGTGCATATTACCTTCTGCTTCCCCATGTCCAAAAACTCAGTATTTGATGCATGTGATTTGCAACAAGCAGAACAGGCTAGGAGATAGGATTCCATTTGCGTTGGAGGACTCAGCTTGTTTATAAAGAAGGAACTGGGTGTGTGTGTGAAGGAGGTCACTGTTTTGCAGAAGGTGGGTGAGCTTAAACACAGCTTACCGGCTACAAATGTAAAATCAAATGTCTTTGTGTAAGGAAAGGTTGAATCATTTGGAAGTCCTTATTTTGGTCTTTATGTGAGTTCATGTGCCTTTGCTGGGGTTCTGGAGCATTCCTTGTGGTCACCTCAACTTCTTTCATTTGTTAGAAATTAATTAGTTTTAATAGCTGGAGAAATAGTAGCTTGTTAATATCACTGAAGTTTCACATCATAAGCAGATTCCTTACATAAGGGTGGGGAAAGGACAGTGTGTGGCCCACCAGTAGTCTGTCTTTTGCAAGGTGCAGGGAGCTGAGCTGCAGGCTGTAGAACTGAGGTGACGAAGTGCATGATAGTGGTCACTCAGTTACTGCAAGATAGTACTGAATATACTTTCTTTACCATGGCATTAGATAAATATCCTTTAAACAAGCTGTGAAACCATGTCTCAGAACCCATGTTTACTTTTGAACCCCTTGTCTTTAGGCCTGTAGATTGCATTCTCATTGTGTCAAATGTTGTAACAAGTGAAGTTGTATTAGGAAGGACACTGTACACTGTCCACATTTTTCAAAATCTGAGAAATTTAGGATACCCTCTAAAGAAAATGGAAGTATCATCGTGGGAACAAGTCCTACTTGCAGCACAAGGGGACTTTTGGGGAATGTAGCCCTGTGGTCTTTGTAAGGAAAGGGACCTCATGACATGGTGTGGCTTAGTCAGTGCTCCTTGAAGGATGCAGTTAAGATAAATTATGTTTCGCTATTGTCACATCAGCCTGATCTGTTTAATACAAGATATGTGCATGTTTTTACATACTTGGACTGACCCATTGGGGGAACTGGGAAAACTTCCAAGTTCTGAGGGAGAGTATTGGCGCTCTAAAAATATTTACCTAATTAGCAAGTGGTTAGAGGGTCTGCCAAAACCAGGTGAAAGCACTTTTTGCAAAAGGTGCTTCTGGTCACACACAGCTTGAACTTGGGGCACAAGACCGAAGACAAAGCTCAGAAAACTTGGTACTAATAAGAGACACCACATAAACTAGCACCCTAAAGGACTTCACCCTTGAAGACAAATAATGTTGTCTTCACACCAGAAGGCTGCAAAGAATATTGCCTTGGCCATGAGCAAAAGTTTTAATCTTTAGTTTTCATAGATTAACAGCCGAAAACCACATAACTCATGGTAACCAACAAGCAACAAAACCACCTCCCTCCCCAGGGAGGGACTGTGTTTAAGTGTCCCCAGACTGGTAATGCCATTGTTAGCTCCCTGGTAGAGGCTGAGGGGGATCTCAGAGAACACACCTTCATCCTGGAGGATGACGTGACGCCTTTGTACCCAGCAATATAGAGGAATTGTGGAAGACTGAAGGATGAACTGTGTCAAACAAACCATCGGGCACAGTCTCCAAATTACAGAGTGTGGGAAGCGAACAAGAGGATTTCTTCAGAACCAGTTGCAGAAAAGAACACAGGTGAAAGGAGGACTTGCACATCAGGGCTTGAAACGTGTCAACCAGTCTTATTTGTGGACTTTATTTGGGGATTGGCTCAGCAAAAAAAGCAAACTGTATGGCAATAAAAGATGATTAACTGTGAGCGCCTACTGGGTGCATAGTTACGCTGAACTTCAGCATGCGTTTGCCGTTCTAAAAATTGCATACTGAAAATGGTACTGTTGGCATTGACTTCAAAATAGGTGGTGGCTGGTGGGAGAAACTAGCGCCATAGCCCAGTGGTGAGCACTTGCCTAGCACAAAGTGGAGTTGGCCCCCAGCCAGAGGGAATGGAGGGAATGGGGAGGGAATCAAGACTGAACACAGGCTGTTGTGCACACTCTCATTCTAGCACTTAAGGGGAAGAGGTAGGAGAATCATGAAATTGAGGTTACCCTGGGCTGTATGGGGAGATCCTGCCTCAAAAAGAGAAATGAGTTTGGACATAAGTTAGTAACTGTTGATGAGCATTGATTTTGAATACACTTAAGACTGTACAGGCATTTTTTGGTTGTGCTGTGATTTTGTGTGTGTCTGTTCTGTCTTCTGAGACGTGGTCTCACTAGGTGGCCCAGACTTTTGAGTTTCTTTTGTTTCAGCCTTACATATGTAGGAAATGCAGATATGTTGGTGTACTTTAAAAAGGGTCTATTTCTTACTTACACAGCGTTCTGCCTGCAGGTGTGCCTACAGGCCAGAAGAGGGCACCAGATCTCATTATAGATGGTTGTGAGCCACCACGTGGTTGCTGGAAATAGAACTCAGAACCTTTGGAAGAACAGCCAGTGTTCCTAACCTCTGAGCCAACTCTCCCGCCCTTGTTGGTATACTTTTAAAAATTATTTTATTTACGTTTTTTAATATCTCTTTCTCCCCTCTTCACTTCCAATTCCAGTACCGGAACAGCAGGTAGAGGAGAAAGGTCAGTGGGGAGAGGAAGTATAGTTCTCCTTAGCTACCTCCTGCTGTTTAGGGTCATTGGGTTTCTTGGGGCCAAGTCCAAGCTTCACTGCAGGATATCGGACTTCTCATGCTGTATCAAGAGCAACTAGGAGCAGCAGGAGCAAGCACCAGCGGCCTTCTTCTTGGAACACCCTTTCTATCTCTGGCGTTTATTCTCTGTCCAGAGTCCTCAGAACTAAACTATCTGCTGCTGGCAAAGAGCCCCTCTCAGGGCCCAGAAATACTTTGCTACTGTGGACAGTCTGAATCAGCCCCATATTCCACACCTGGGATTAAAACAAAAACATGGAGCTGGAAAGATGGCTCAATGGTTAAGAGCACTGGTTGTTCTTCCAGAGGACCTGGGTTCACTTCCCAGCACCTACATGGCAGGTCACAACTGTCTATAACTCCAGTTCCAGAAGATCCAGATCCAGTGACCTCACACAGACAGACATGTATACCAAACACACATAAAAATTAAAAATTATTAAAACCATGTTGACAATAACAAGTTTTTAAAGACAACAAAACTTTCAACTACATCCTCCCCCCCCCTTTAGTCTAAGAAAATGGCTTTTTTTTTTTTTTTTTTTTTTTTTTTTTTTTTTTTTTT